GACAAGTCACAAGCCCCAAAAAAAAACCACTCCAACAACTTGAAACATCTCCTCAAGTCCATTCCATATCATGAGCTAAAGCATGATGACGAACACCCATATTCTAGACCCGGCTGGGTTGTTTACCAAGTCCCGTCTTCTCGGGACGGAGAACCGAGAACAACTGGTTCGTAGTGGGGCCCGATGAAAACCGGGACCGTGATCTCGAAAATACCTACCGACTTTACGATTGGCAAGTTGTGGTTTTTGCAACCCAAAAAGAAAATCGGGGAAACCCACGCATTGTCACTTTCAGCTCTCCCGAACATATCCGCATATGGAATCTTTCTCATTCGTTCGAAAAATCTCCTCGAAGCCATACATATTCACCGCATCACCGCGGCAACCGCTCTTGACCATCCTCCAGGCGGCTCCAGGCAGAACCGGGAGAAAGTCAACCAAAGGCAAGGAAAGCGCTGCCAGGACGGTCAAGGCAAAGGCAAGGTTCCCAAGTCTTTGTGTGCAAGACAACACACCCAGACTCCAAGTCTCCAAGAGATCCATCCTCCAGCGCGCTCTCCAGCGGCCCAGGCAGCGCGCAAAAAGTACAAGGAAAAAGTCGCAACGGATGATGTGCGGAAGATATGGGAGAATCGCGGAAGATGATTTTTTTTCTTCCGCATTTGCCAGGTTTGCTTCCGTAACAACGCAAAATACTTTCATACTTGTATGCTTCGTTCCACAATCTCGAGTCCACGATCCGGGACGAATTTCACCCCCACATGGAACACGGAAGCTTCGTTGGGCCCGACCGCTTTCCATCTTCTGGAGTTCTGGTGCTCCCGCTTTCCGAAGGGCCGAAGTGGGGCAAGATTGCCTGCCTGCCTGCCCAATAAGTCCCGCCCGCAGTCCCGGTTTCGCCATGCCTGCCGAGCGTTCGGCATTCTTTGCCCAGCCCGTGTGTGGGCGGCTCGGCGAATGGCCCGGTGGTCACGGCATGTGGTGGTGACGGTGGTGGTTACGGTGACCTGCGGCGGTTGAGTTGAGGTCGAGGTCGTCACTCGTCACTTGTCACTCGTCAGCACTGGCGCTGACGCTGACGCTGAAACTCAAGATGCCCTAGAAGCGACCCACTGTAACTGATGAACTATCACCGACCCGCCAGCAGTGGCCAGCACGTTGCACACGACCCAGCAGGAAGGACAAGTCACGGGTTGGTGAGTGCGGTGAGCAGACAGACAATGATCTCGATGAAAGATGATGTTTGGAATTTCACGGTGTACACATGAACGGCTGATTCACTCGACAAGTCATCGCCATGCTCACGAACTCCCATTCGCAGCTCACCAGAGTCACACACCTCCGTTCCTCGGACCGCTAACACATTGGACCCCCGGTAACCGGGTCTTTGGGCATCACCTCCATTCCTATCTAGATACCAGCCACTACTCTCTTTAACGGAACATTCATGATCAGGCTTCCATCGCCACACCCTCCTCCGCCCTTCTTCCTAGCCTGACGACTAAAGCCTAGCAATCCAGCGAGCCCAGCTGATACCACACCGTCACTTGTGCTCTGACCTGTCTGGCAAGGCGCATACACGTAGATACGAACTCCGAGACTCGCTCGCTCTTCACAGAAAACGTAGGAACGCAAATTATTGCGATGAGCAGAGAGCCCAGGCGAGCCAGGCTACCAGGCTGTTTGGGGGCGAAGTTTTTCGGGATTTCCCCTTTGAGATCAGCCGTTGATTATCCTTTCGTGGCCAAGCAAGTGGAAAAGGCAACAAGGGGGAGCAAGGCAGGGCAGGCAGCAGTCAGTCTCATACACCTCCATTCTCAGTTTTTTGTGGTCTTACTGGAAAGACAGCCTTGAGGGTATCACTCAGCTTTAAAGGGTAAGGTAATGGACTCTCAATGTCGGGGGAGTTAATCCGATCCGTTTATTGCTCCCTTTTTGGTCGGTGATTGGGGATGTTATTGGTGGGTTTATGTCATAGAGGTTTGTAGTGTCTCGATGATTCAGTGGATGAATGAACACATACTCTTACGACACTCCATAAACGTTGTGGCATTCAATCATTGACTGTGATATGACGGTTCTCTGCTGACCCTGTCTTAAGTATTCTTCACTCTCAACCGGACCGTAGAATGTTTTCACGGTGTTCTTACTTGGCAACACAACGCCCCAAACACTCCCGCTTTTCACCTTCAATAACATCCTAACACCATAAGAAATGGGAAGAGTTTTCCCGGTGAGTACTGTTTTACGATGTGAACCCAAGGTGAGGTGAGATGTCAGATTCCAGGTTCCTGGACCCGGTCGGTGAGTAAGCCGCAAAATTCTAAAACCGTCAGCAAGTGAGATTGAAACCAACCTACTGAATGGGTAAAGGTAACAACAGAACAAAACCAGTCCGCCTGTCAGCAATCATCCAATCAAGATCCATGAATTTTTCCCCCCGATACGATGAACTCTGAGACAAGGTCTCGACTCTCTCGATTGAGGTATGTAGTGGTGCGGCAAGTGTTCCATATGCCCTAAACGGGAACTTGAAAAGATTTAAGTTTAAGCATTACATGATAAATATGATGATGTCGGACTCTTGAGTTCTGGCATATACGTACATTAGGGAGATCCATATGGGACGATGAATGTGTTGCCACGCGATATGTCAAGATGGTGGTGCTTCGGAATCTTTCCCGGAGTGAACAAACCCGATAGATAGATGTCAGCAGTTTCAATTCTTTCATAATTCACGATCAATCAGACTCAGAATGAGCTCACTGTACCAGCGGGTAGGCAGGTAAGCACGAGCCGTGAGTGTGAGCGTTGGTGTAAGTGTGAGTAAGACGCGAGACAGTTTATTGGGTTGTTGGTTGGTTCGCCGAACGGAATGGGACACTCAGGATCGTGTGGTAGTAGCGAGCGGCGTGTTGAATCGGGTTAATTATCCGCTGACGCCGACAGACGCCGTTTTGGAGATTGGTTGTTGGTTTTGATGACTCCATTGTCTTTGGCTGGCCCTGATATGGTGTTGCGGTATTCTCGAGTACATCGGTGATCGGTGATCGGTGAGGGTTTGGAGGATGTCGAGCGGGTCATCACGCCCTTCGTTCGATACACTGGTTGCATTCGGGTATATATACCTATAAATCTCTGGTATGGTAAATGTATTGCCCGCCCGCAATGTTGAGCATCACGATCTGACAAGAAGGCTTGTCATCGTACCTGTACTGACTTTGTGCCCAACGAGGTACGAAACTTGATCGCGATAATCGGGCCGGGAGTTCCGATGCCACGGCCATGGCGACTGACAGTGGACCATATCACTTGAGCAACATTGTACACCTGGGAGGCACTTTTCGTGTGAGTAACTGAAATGCTCGAAGACCATTTTGGAAGCTTATACAAAATCTTGAAGGCGTTGGTTTCATTGTGACTGGCGAGTGTTCGGGGCGTGTTATCGACTGGTGCACACGAGCTGTCGATATCCGTTTGAACTATGTATTGGTATATCGGTGTTGGAATCGATGGCATTTAGACCGAAAACTATTACCGAGGCTGTGCCGAATGAAAAGGAGGAGACAAAGCAAAGCAGCCCATATTGATCCTCGCGGTTGTCGGAGACAAGTTGAGTGTTGTAAATTCTGAGACCTCTTCGATGAGCAGAGCATCATGAAGTCCCTTTACTAGTGGAAGTAGTCATAACAATTTCTCCTTCTTGTGCCAGAAAACTCCTAGGTAGTATTACGCCATAATCATTGCTCGTCCATCCTAGTTCCCTTAAAGAGAAACTTTTATTCCGTGATTCTGTCACATCACTCGCGGAAGGCACGTTTTGTTCACCAAGGTCTCGAATACGAGAACGGCAGCACCTGCACGGAGTGCACGGAATTGAAGGAAATTGTCACCTAGTTCATGAACAGGTTTTCCAGAATACTGCCAATGCCCTAATTCACTTGCACCAAAATGATTTTCCAAGCGTCCGCCCTCCAAAATCCCTTAGATGACCATGATGCTTAATTTTTCTTTTGCGTCCGCCAAAGTCCTCAAAGTCTCGCTCTAGTCTGCATCCTGAATGTCTTAGTGTCAGTTTCTTATCTCTTCATGTTCAGTTTTATTGTCGGTCGCGGTTCACACTCACTTCATGTTCATCCTTAATAAGGCCAGTTCAGATCGCTCCAGCACAGATCATGCACTAAAGCGCACCTTACCGTGCATGATGTGCAGCTCAATACCTTGCATATTCAGTAAGGCAGCATCAAGGCAAGCCAACGAAGACTTGAGCATTACACTTTCTTATGAGGGCTCCCCTCCCTTCTTGTCCTTTCCCTCTCTCTTCTCCTTCAATCAACTAACTCATCACCACTTTCTAAAGGTGTTCGTTGGGTAACTTATTGAAGGTTCGTGATTCTTGGCATGGTGTTGAACGTCGGATTTGTAGAGGTAGTATCGAAGTTGCCCAATTACTTAGAATAGCCTCACTGGCCTTTGACTTCATTCCATGTCTCTTCTTTTTCTTCTCGTCATGACTCTCCTCATTCCATGTTCCTTCTGCCTAAAGTGACATTCCAGCTCGCACTACCTAGGTGCGAATGCACTCCAGTCGTTGACGAACCGTGCCGCGGAGAGGTGCCCAGAAAAGAAAATCCGGATAACCCCCCCGCAGCTCCCCGATGTTTACAGAACAACATTGAGGAACCGCCCCTCCCAATCCCAAAATTGAGAGAGAGAGAGAGAGAGAGA